TATTATAAAATATTTTATTAATTTATTATACATATTTGTTTTTTTAAATTTTATTTAAAAATAAAATAATAACTATTTTAATATTTTTTATAATAATTTTAAAAACAAAACTTATTTTATAAAAAATAAAAATTAGTTAAATCTATATTTAACTTTAATTTTATAATAAAACTATTTATTAAATACAAATTAATATAATGCACAAATAGCAAAAAATTTGTTTAATTAAAACAAAATAACTGACTAACTATTTATAATAAATATAAATTTGATAAGTAAATTATTTTTTTTGTAATCAGTATATTAATTATATGATTATGTAATTTTTAAATTAAAGTCATTATAGTTAAAATAAATGATAAAAATAAACTGTAAATTTTATAAACCGTCTAAACTCAAAAACCACAAATAAAATTTTGTTTTTCGTGTTTATCGTTGTTGATAGTCAAATATTAGATTATTATTATTATAATTATGTAATTATTATAAATAAATTATATCTCTAAATGAAAATGTTTATTAGTTATTATTATTATTTTTTTAACTGAAAGATTAAATTAGCTTTAATATTGACTACCGATGTTGTTGTTGTTATTTTTCGCTTTGAAATCCGTGATTACACATAAAGTACATCTGAGGTGTCAGTCGTCACATAGACAGACAGACAGAGAGACAGACAGGAAGACAGACAGTCAGTAACAGTGAAAGTCAGTTATTTATTTAATTTAATTAATATATTAAAAATTATTTTTGAATTTAAAATCATATAAACCGACAGACAAACCGACATACAAACCGACAAACAATATCCAGGATTTGTATCCCCCGTTTTTACAATGATTGCATGCACGGGGTTTTGAGAACCCTTAAACAATGTTTCTCTCTAGTGTTGTTGGATATACTGTGTATAGCACTCATAACCGCCGAGAGTGCAGTAGTTAGAGGAGTACCCCTATTAACGATAGGACAGCATTATATATGTGGACAGTTCTGAGTACACATATTATCTGTTTCCTCGCGTTAAAAATCCCAACAAACTTAGRTGGCCCAAACGGGTATCGATCTCGGGTTGTCGTACTCGATAGCCGACAACTTAGCCTTTCGGCCACCGAGGCCCCATAGAGAGAGAGAGACAGAGAGAGAGACAGAGAGAGAGACAGAGACAGAGACAAAGAGAGACAGACAGACCGACAGACAGACAGACAGTTATTTAATTAATTTATTTAATATATTATAAATTATTTTTGAATTTAAAATAAGACAAATCGACAGACAAATCGACATATAGGCCGTCAGACAGACCGACAGACAGACCAGACCGACAAACAGACCGACAGACAGACCGACAGACAGTTATTTAATTAATTTAATTAATATATTATAAATTATTTTTGAATTTAAAATTATATAAACCGACAAACAGGCCGTCAGACAGACAAATAGACTGTAAGACTAACAGTCAGTTATTAATTTAATTGATAAAATATAAATTATTTTTGTATTTAAAATTATACAAATCGACAGACAAATCGACAGATAGGCCGTCAGACAGACCGGCAGACAGACAGACAGACAGACAGAGACAGACAGACACAGACCGACAAACAGACAGACAGACCGGCAGATAGTTATTTAATTAATTTAATTAATATATTATAAATTATTTTTGAATTTAAAATAAGACAAATCGACAGACAGGCCGTCAGACAGACAAATAGACTGTTGACTAACAGTCAGTTATTAATTTAATTGATAAAATATAAATTACTTTTGAATTTAAAATTATACAAATCGACAGACAAATCGACAGACAGGCCTTCAAACAGACAGACAGACAGACCGACAAACAGACCGACAGACAGACCGACAGACAAACCGACAGACAGACCGACAGACAGACCGACAGACAGACAGACAGACAGACAGACAGACAGACAGACAGACAGACAGACAGTTATTTAATTAATTTAATTAATATAATATAAATTATTTTTGAATTTAAAATAAGACAAATAGACAGACAGGCCGTCAGACAGACAGACCGACAGACCGACAGACCGACAGACCGACAGACCGACAGACCGACAGACCGACAGACAGACCGACAGACAGACCGAGAGACAGACCGACAGACAGACAGACCGACAGACAGCCGTCAGACAGACCGACAGACAGACCGACAGACAGATCGACAGACAGTTATTTAATTAATTTAATTAATTTATTATAAATTTTTTTTGAATTTAAAATCAGACAAATCGATAGACAGGCTGTCAGACAGACAGGCCTTCAGACAGACAGACCGACAGACAGACCGACAGACAGATCGACAGACAGACCGACAGACAGTTATTTAATTAATTTAATTAATATATTATAAATTTTTTTTGAATTTAAAATCAGACAAATCGACAGACAGGCCGTCAGACAGAGAGACCGTCAGTTATTTAATTAATTTAATTAATATATTATAAATTATTTTTGAATTTAAAATAAGACAAATCGACAGACAGGCCGTCAGACAGACAAATAGACTGTTGACTAACAGTCAGTTATTAATTTAATTGATAAAATATAAATTATTTTTGAATTTAAAATTATACAAATCGACAAACAAATCGACAAACAAATCGACAGACAAATCGACAGACAGGCCTTCAAACAGACAGACAGACACAGACCGACAGACAGACCGACAGACAAACCGACAGACAGACCGACAGACAGACCGACAGACAGACAGACAGACAGACAGACAGACAGACAGACAGACAGACCGACAGACAGTTATTTAATTAATATATTATAAATTATTTTTGAATTTAAAATAAGACAAATCGACAGACAGGCCGTCAGACAGACCGACAGACAGACCGACAGACCGACAGACAGACACAGACCGACAAACAGACAGACCGACAGACAGTTATTTAATTAATTTAATTAATATATTATAAATTATTTTTGAATTTAAAATAAGACAGACAGACCGACAGACAGACCGACAGACAGACCGACAGACAGACCGACAGACAGACCGACAGACAGACCGACAGACAGACCGACACAGACCGACAGACAGACCGACAGACAGGCCGTCAGACAGACAAATAGACTGTAAGACTAACAGTCAGTTATTAATTTAATTGATATAATATAAATTATTTTTGAATTTAAAATAAGACAAATCGACAGACAGGCCTTCAAACAGACAGACAGACACAGACCGACAAACAGACCGACAGACAGACAGACCGACAGACAGACCGACAGACAGTTATTTAATTAATTTATTTAATATATTATAAATTATTTTTGAATTTAAAATAAGACAAATCGACAGACAGGCCGTCAGACAGACAAATAGACTGTTGACTAACAGTCAGTTATTAATTTAATTGATAAAATATAAATTATTTTTGAAGTTAAAATTATACAAATCGACAGACAAATCGACAGACAAATCGACAGACAAATCGACAGACAAATCGACAGACAAATCGACAGACAGGCCTTCAAACAGACAGACAGACACAGACCGACAAACAGACCGACAGACAGACCGACAGACAGACMGACAGACAGACCGACAGACAGACCGACAGACAGTTATTTAGACCGACAAACAGACCGACAGACAGACCGACAGACAGACAGACAGACAGACAGACGACAGACAGTTATTTAATTAATCTAATTAATATAATATAAATTATTTTTGAATTTAAAATAAGACAAATCGACAGACAGGCCGTCAGACAGACAGACCGACAGACAGACCGACAGACAGACCGACAGATAGACAGACCGACAGACAGACCGACAGACAGACCGACAGACAGACCGACAGACAGACCGACAGACAGACCGACAGAAAGTTATTTAATTAATTTAATTAATATATTATAAATTTTTTTTGAATTTAAAATCAGACAAATCGATAGACAGGCCGTCAGACAGACAAATAGACTGTAAGACTAACAGTCAGTTATTAATTTAATTGTTATAATATAAATTATTTTTGAATTTAAAATTATACAAATCGACAGACAAATCGACAGATAGGCCGTCAGACAGACCGACAGACAGACAGACAGACAGACAGACAGACAGACCGACAGACAGACCGACAGACAGACCGACAAACAGACAGACAGACAGACAGACAGACAGACAGACAGTTATTTAATTAATTTAATTAATATATTATAAATTATTTATGAATTTAAAATAAGACAAATCGACAGACAGGCCGTCAGACAGACAAATAGACTGTAAGACTAACAGTCAGTTATTAATTTAATTGATAAAATATAAATTATTTTTAAATTTAAAATTATACAAATCGACAAACAAATCGACAGACAGGCCTTCAAACAGACAGACAGACACAGACCGACAAACAGACCGACAGACAGACCGACAGACAAACCGACAGACAGACCGACAGACAGACCGACAGACAGACAGACAGACAGACAGACAGACAGACAGACCGACAGACAGACCGACAGACAGACCGACAGACCGACAGACCGACAGACCGACAGGCCGACAGACCGACAGACAGCCGTCATACAGACAAATAGACTTTAAGACTAACAGTCACTTATTAATTTAATTGATATAATATAAATTATTTTTGAATTTAAAATTATACAAATCGAAAGACAGTCCGACAGACAGACCGACAGACAGACCGACAGAACAACAGACCGACAGACAGACCGACAGACAGTTATTTAATTAATTTAATTAATATATTATAAATTATTTTTGAATTTAAAATAAGACAGACAGACAGACCGACAGACAGACCGACAGACAGACCGACAGACAGACCGACAGACAGGCCGTCAGACAGACAGACCGACAGACAGACAGACAGACAGACMGACAGACAGACAGACCGACCGACAGACAGACCGACAGACAGACCGACAGACAGACCGACAGACAGACCGACAGACAGACCGACAGACAGACCGACAGACAGACCG